CTGGTGATGTTCATGTTGCTATTAAATGGCAGAGTCTGTTCTCATTTAGTATAATAAAATTTACTGCTCCTATTCAATATTAAATCTATTGTTTTACATTATATGTCTATATATGGCAATGATTTCTGGAAGTTTTTAAGAATATCTTGGACAATAACACTGCTCTATGGTGTAAATCGCACTCAAAGAGACATCAATAATCAGCATATGAACCTCAATAATGGTGACAACAAACAAAATTAACAGTTTAACTCACAAACAGGCAACTGAAAGTCTAAACATAAACAACAGCAGAATCAAACACAAATAAAGAAAACTGTGAGACCATTATACAACATTTATTTATACCGCAATGCATGCTGGGATATTGGTACCGTGCCACTCCCAGCATGCATTGCAGCATGAAACATTTGAGATGTTATCATTGTTGAGATACAAGGTCAGATTCATGAGGTCTGAGTGTGTATTTATCATAATTGAACTGTTTTTGTATGTTATTTCTTAACTGTTAAGTAATTACGGAGGTATCTTTTCTGTTTCCACTTCTCATTAATTAAATTAATACCTGCAACTAAGCATAAAATCTATTGCATGAGGCTCTTCATCCAGATTTATACCAAAACATTTATCAGAACTAATTTCAAACAAATAGATTTCTCTATTTATTGACTTTCCAACTTGATTGCTATAATACAAGCATTTTGTTAACTCTTTATTATAGTAATTGGAGAGTCTGAATTAATAAGTTCAAGGGTGAAGAGCCCAACTAAACCAGCCCCATTACGGTGACACAAAAAACACCTTAATTCCTGTTGGATCTCAATGAGAATAGTATGGAAGTCAAATCAGTCAGTAATAAGTGTGTGTCTGCTGTTGTTTGTGAAGTTGTTTAATGATCCTCTGCTGAGACTGAAGCTGTTTTATTTTATTTGATTTTATTTAATGCTGTAACTCAAGTCACTGTTTGTGTTTCTTGTTTATTTTCTTCAGTAATTGTGATTATTAACAGCAGGTGTTCATCAGTGTCTGAATTCACTCATTAGTGTTCATTAAAACTGTCTGGTGAACTATTTTAGTTAACTAGTGTATGAAATAGTGAACAAGGGCACAAAGCGTGATTTCAAACACAGACTTCAAAACATCGAATCTGAACTCTGTTAGCTCACAGTTTTCTGCAGTTGGTTACTTTCTCGAAAACAAAAATGTTACCCAGAAAGCACTGTTTTTAACAGAATATTACTGTTTTAGTGAAAAAAACATTATTTTACCGTAGAATCTGACCGTTTTTTAACAGCAATTTTTTACAGTGTAGTAAAGCTCCTTTAGCTTTCTCTGTATAGTTGTCATCCAACTCTGATGGCAAAATACGAACTTCATTTTGTTCTATATCTCCAAGAAAATCTTTATCACCAAGGTTATTTAATCTAGATAAAACTGTTAACTGTCTTTTTTTCCTAAGAGAGGAAAACAATAGCTCATTACAGCAGAGCCATTTTTAACTTGATTTATTTTCAATTTGAGAAAAGCATGTGGCAAAAGAAAAAGAAAACCAAACAGCAAATAGGGAGAAAAGCATTTGCCACATGCTTGTTTAAAAAGCTGTTTAAAATGTGTTTTGTGATTTATTAACCCAAATTTTTACTGTTTGATTAATCAGCCTTTAAAACATGGATTAAATAAAAATACAGTAATAAAAGTGTCTACTTATTTATAGATTTAAAATGTATTTGTAATGCATTGTTTTATTGCTTAATTAAATGACATTTAAAAACACATTTCAAACATATCTATTTATTTGTCCATTTAAATTGTGATTTATTTATGTACATTTTTATGCTGGTCGAAGCAGTGGCGCAGTAGGTAGTGCTGTCCCCTCACAGCTAGAAGGTGGCTGGTTCGAGCCTCGGTACAGTTGGCGTTTCTGTGTGGAGTTTGCATGTTCTCCCTGCATTCGCGTGGGTTTCCTCTGGGTGCTCCGGTTTCCCCCACAGTCCAAAGACATGCGGTACAGGTGAATTGGATAGGCTAAATTGTCCATAGTGTATGAGTGTGTGTGTAAATGTGTGTGTGGGTGTTTACCAGAGATGGGTTGCAGCTGGAAGGGCATCCGCTGCGTAAAAACTTGCTGGATAAGTTGGCGGTTCATTCCGCTGTGGCGACCCTGTATTAATAAAGGGACTAAGCAGACAAGAAAATAAAGACATTTTTATGCTTCAATAATTAAATTGATCATTTGAGTCTTTGATTTTCTAACTAGCACTCTTGTACGGTGGCCGGGAAGTGCAAAACAACATTATAAAGTTTGAAACACTTTTACAAAGCTCGAGACAAAATTAAATTTTGAAAAACACTTTTACTTATCATCAGACACAATTACACAGGGAAAACAATTTTACAAAGAACAAGACAAATTTACATTTTAGAAAACCAATTAACAAGACGCAAAACACTTTTACAAATCCCGAAACAAATTTACAATTACATATTCCCTACGGAAAGGGAATGTACCACACCCCGGAAGTGACGTAGAATGTACCACACACTGGTAGTGAACTGGAATGTAACACACACACACTGGAAAATATCAATAATATCCAGCTCGCGTGTGACTTTGTAGACAGGTTTCCACAAGTCTACAACTATAAAAATCATGGTTTGACTAACTGCGATAAAACATATTAGAGCTATTCTAAGACAATATCAGCGAGAGAGTGCATAGAAACATGTAAATGCAAGTACATGGAAACGATTCAAGCACGGCACATGTTGACTGATAAGATACCAAAACCGATCTCAAGTCGTACAGAGGTTTATGCCATGTAGACTTGACTTTATGTTCACGATTACAGCGTACGAGTGGATCTCGTAAAAATATTGAACACATTGATGCAGCATGTCTGGTGTTTCCGTCTGTTCCGCGTCCTTTATAAACTCTAAACACCGACCACACGCAAAGCAAAACCGTGTTAAGCTGCTCATGTGTTTGCCACAAAACGGGCAAAACAACCCTCGACCGCTGTCCATGTTCGGTCACCATAAACTTTGTTTACGCCATGTACTCCACAGCGCGAATTTACCGTGCTCACCAGCAACAACAACAACTTTACCCCACGTCACTACCAGTGTGTGGTACATTCTACGTCACTTCCGGGGTGTGGTACATTCCCTTTCCGTAGGGAATCTAATTGTAAATTTGTTTCGGGATTTGTAAAAGTGTTTTGCGTCTTGTTAATTTGTTTTCTAAAAGGTCAATTTGTTTTGTCCTTGGTAAAAAAATTTTTTCCTCTGTAATTGTGTCTGATGATAGGTAAACATGTTTTTCAAAATGTAAATTTGTCTCGAGCTTTGTAAAAGTGTTTCAAACTTTGTAATGTTGTTTTGCACTTCCCGGCCACCGTACTCTTGGGCCTCCATAATCATGACACTGAACACTTATCATGCGTACAATTCAAGCTTAAACGTGAACAAATTATGTTTTAAAGAACATTTAATTAAAGAACAGTGATTTAAAAATGCAATAACGTTTTAGTGAGCAAAATAAGCTCATTATAAAATATTCCAAACTTTTAAAGGGGCAGTATATTATAGTATTTACAACTATTTGTCGTACAACCTTTGTTGAACCCACCTGTTTCTGATGTTTGCTGGGGAGCGATTCTGAATGTCTGGCAACTGTGCAGAGCTAAAAAAAAAAAAAGATCACTGTATTAAGTAGTTTGAGGGGACATGTGGTATATTGTCCAGTGGTTCCCAGTGCTTCAGCATCTCTGTACATGTTTCCGGTGGAGCTGGTGGTACTGCTGGTGCTGGTTGTGGCCAAAATCAAAGTGGGAACTATAGTAAAAGCTCAGTTGCATCTGAGGTAACAGGTGGATATTCTATTGATGGAGCAGGTGAAAGGAGTGGCTTTGGTGCTGGTCATCTCATCAAAATTAAATGGAAACTTGTTAAAATAGATTATAGTCACATTTGACTTTTTTCACTTGAAATGACAATCATTTTGCTAAATTAAAATTATTCAACCCATTCTTTAAACAGGGTTTTGCTTGTCACCCTAAAGAGTTTAAAACAATAATTAATATTATCCCTAAAAACATCACAGTATTGATCAGAGGTTTTCTTTCACACTATTCTGTAATGTTCTCTCTTCCATCTTTATTTTTTTAGAAATTATTTTCCAAAATGTAATAAGTTTTAAAGGAATATTCTTATTCAAAGGCTTTATCCTAATCAGCTCAGACCTCGTTTATTTTAAAAGATTTTAATTCACAGGAATTAGAAAAATAAGACAACAATTTACGTTTCTTATTCAATTCTCCCCAAAATTAAAGAACTTCAGTTAAAATGATTAATGATGTGTTTCCATCAAAATAATTCCTGAGATTAAAAGATGATAATAAGGAGATCTTGTCAATTTTGTAAAAGTCATATTGAAAACACTGAGCATGTTTTCTATAATTGCATATACTCATGTCTCATGTCAATATCCATGTAAACCCTAAAGTTAAATTTAATGTGACTAAAGAAAATTGTACACAGCATTAAGTAGTTAATAACCGTTTATGCTTTGCAAAAAATTCTTCATTTATAAATATATAAATTTATAAATGTTGGTTTTTAAACCTTTTAAAGGGTGACAATGAGATTTATAGACCCATACTAGTTTAAAAAAAACTATCCTTTTTCAGTTTTATTTTGCCCACCTAACATTGCTGTTAGTAATAGTAGTCACTATGTGAGTGTGTGTGTGTGTGTGTGTATATATATATATATATATATATATATATATATATATATATATATATATATATATGTGTGTGTGTGTGTGTGTGTGTGTGTGTGTGTGTGACTACTATTACTAACAGCACTGTCTATATATATATATATAGAATTTGAATAAACAGATAGCTGAAGTGCTTCAGTAATCTGTTGAGTACTGGAATTAACATGTAAGCTAACAAATCACTCATATTCTCATTCACAATAGAGATACTGGGCTTCCCATACACAGATTTATTTGTAGTAATGTGGGAGTTTTCACATGAACATTTCTTCAAAGGAAACCAAATTTGTGCACATTGCACACTGCAATCAAATGGTCTGCACTGAAAAGAGAATTAGAAAGATTAGGGAGGAGAAAATGTTTGGGGAGATGCAGAGAAAACTGTCCTACACTCTTAGATTGTGTTTTTGATTATTCACATTGTTTGATTGTCACTCCCTTAAACAAACACCGATTGCCTCCAATTTTGGCTTTTGTCTGCAGTGTCACAAAACTTGGTGGTGATTAAAAATCCACCTAAACTGTTGTGAACTTGCAGTGACAGTGAGAGACTGATGCAGACTCCATAAAGCCCTGATCAGACTACATAATGCCATTTGCCAGTTACCACAGATCAGATTTGTGTCAGATTATGAGATTTTGACTTGATCAAATCTTGATGTGTTGTGGGTAACAAATGAAGACTTTGGCTTCAAAACACTAAACATATATTTTGATGGACTGATTTTAGAAAAGAAACTAGTTTTCTTCATGAAAACAATTAAACTTTCTGTAAACAACTGGTTTTCAGTTCATAATAACTTGAAACACATATAGAGTTATTTTGCTTTATTGCAGCCCTGTAGAAACTCTCACAACCTGGCACATCTTCACCCCTCTTCAGTTATTGAGTTTAAATCTTCAAGTTCAAAGGGTTTCATGCCAATAACTTGAGATGTATTCAAGAGTTCACACTTGTCCCGAGATGCTATTCCATGCTATCCCGGGTGAGAGCCTTAAGCTCCGCTGGACAAGGCCTCATTTTTGCTCTCCATTGTGAAGCTTCATATGATTGACGAGGCTTCTTTTATGTTTAAAGCCCTTTCCACACTCACTGCATCGAAAACGCTCGCCTGAGTGAATCTTCATGTGTTGCTTTATGGAGTCTTTGCATGTGAGACTCTTTCCACAATGATCACATGTGGTTCCAGTGTGACCATTGGTGTGATTCATGAGCCTAGCTTTGGTTGTGAAGCTCTTTCCACAATGAGCACATGCAAACGGCTTCTCTCCAGTGTGACTTATCATGTGGTGATCGAGTGTGTTTTTACATCTGAAACTTTTACCACACTCTGTGCATGTGTAAGGTTTCTCTCCAGTGTGAATCCTCATGTGGATGGTAAGGTTTTGTTTTTGAGAAAAACCTTTCCCACACTGTGTGCAAAGAAAGCTTCTCTCTCCAGTGTGAGTTCTCATGTGGACTTCAAGGTTGCCATTTTGCTTATAACTCTTTCCACACTGAAGGCAAGAGTAAGGCTCCTCCCCAGTGTGAATTCTCATGTGCGCTGCCAAGTTTCCTGTAGTATAGAAGCTTTTCCCACACTTTTGGCATGTGTACGGCCTCTCTCCAGTGTGAATTCTCATGTGCACTGTTAAGTTTCCTATAGTATAGAAGCTTTTTCCACACTGTTTGCAGGTGTAAGGTTTCTCCCCTGTGTGAACTCTCATGTGAACATCAAGGTTTGACCTTTGACTGAAACTCTTTCTACACCGTTTACAGCTGAAATTACACCCAGATTTGGATTTCCGAGGTCTTCCGCGTGATGAAGTCTTTTTAGTGAGTGTGGGTTTTTCATCAGTTGTTATTTCTTGTTGTTTTTTTTCTTCCATTTCATTCCATTGATGAGTCTCTTCTTTCAGCACCATCAGGTCTTTAAAAAAAGAACAAAAAAAGTTAACTTTAGTATGAAAGCACAAAGTGGTAAGCATGACATGGATATTTACCCCAAATATTAAAGGGACTCTACTATTTACTCTCCATCATGTGCTTTTAAACATTTCCTTTCTTCTGGAACACAAAGTAAGCCAGCGTTTTTATCACAATATCTTATTTTGTGTTCAACAGAATCAGGAAACTCATCAAGGTTTAATACCACACAATGGAAAGTCAATGGTGAGGCTATTTACATTTTTGGGTCAGAAATACCTTTAAAGAGTTCCTATTATGAACCTTTTTTACAAGATGTAAAGTAAGTCTTTAGTGTTCCTAGAATGTGTCTGACGTTTCAGCTCAAAATCAGATCATATACCTTGCAGAATATTTCATTTTGGAGGTCTGAGAAAAACCAAGCTCTTTTTGTGCCTGTGGCTGTAAATGCAAATGATCAAATGCACTCGCTCTAGATTACTCACGTTGTGTTCCCTCATGTGCATCTCTTTCTTGGAAAACCTGATTGACACAAATCCTGCATGTTCATAGCAAGTGCGCATAATTCAGCTTATATTTGTGAGTTTGCATTATTGTATATAACTTATGCAAATGTTTTCCGGTACTGGTTTGCAGCTGGACAGGCATCCGCTGTTTAAAGCATATGCTTGATAAGTTGGTGGTTCATTCCACTGTGGCGACCCCTGATGAATAAAGGGAGTAAGCCGAAGGTAAATGAATGAATGAACTTGTGCAAATGCTTAATGCCATGTTTGCTGTAAATTGAAGTGATGAGAAGATGGCAAGATGACATACTTTGCTACTGGTATTCATTCATTTGTACTTTTGTTTTTGTTTTCTTGCCTTTGTGCATGTCCTGAGGCTTAGCTGAAGACCTACATGATGACATTTTATATACCTGACAAAATGCAGAAATGCCATTTAAAAAAAAGGTTATCTGCTGTTTGTCCAATCAGGGACAGTGACAATGTAAATATACAAATAATATTGTTAACCCGGTGTTTGCGAATGTGAACTGTCTGTTAATGAACACCCAGGATTATTTTATAACCCCAGGTATAGCATGAGCAGTGTGAAACGTATTTACAGGTAACCCAGGATTCTGTTTATCCAGGGTTAGAATGACCCAGGGTTAACAATTTCAAGTGTGAAAATTCCTAAGAAAACTCAGCATCAGCTCTCAGAATAGACGTAGTACAACGACAAACAGCAACATATAAACATTCTCAATCATGTCATAGTGACCTGATCTCATTTGCTATTGATTTAAAACTTACAATTCAGTTGCCTATTGGAGAAATGACCTGGAATAATAAACGGCTATACATGTTCATGACTATACATACAAAGAAAAATAAGAAAATATAACTTTGCAACATCAAGCAGCATTAGGCATGGGCCAGTATAAGATTCTGACGGTATGATAAGCTTGAATAAAAATATCACGGTTTTGAGGTACTGAGATTACTGCTCTAAAATATATTATTTTTAAATGTCTGGGTGGCGAGGCAGTGGCGCAGTAGGTAGTGCTGTCGCCTCACAGCAAGAAGGTCGCTGGGTTGAGCCTCGGCTCAGTTAGTGTTTCTGTGTGGAGTTTGCATGTTCTCCCTGCGTTTGCTAGGGTTTCCTCTGGGTGCTCCGGTTTCCCCCACAGTCCCAAGACATGTGGTACAGGTGAATTGGGTAGACTAAATTGTCCATAGTGTATGTGTGGATGTTTTCCAGAGATGGGTAGCGGCTGGAATGGCATCCGCTGCATAAAAACTTGCTGGATAAGTTGGTGGTTCATTCTGCTGTGGCGACCCTGGATTAATAAAGGGACTAAGCCGACAAGAAAATGAATGAATGAATGAATGTCTGGGTAAAAAACAAAAACTTTTTGAAAAGACAAAAGTCTTTTTTCTTTTTTTGTCAGGCTAAAAAATTTAAATGAATCATTGACTTCTGCTGTCTTCATTAGTTTCAAAAACACATTTCTTTACGATTAAAAATGACATCTTTTATCTGCTGGAGATACTGTTGTCGTGAAAAAAACAAACAAACTTAGATATACTGTAGGAATGGTACAGAAGAAAATATTGGCCGTTTTAAAACTTTGATTTTTCCAAACGGCATACCTTGAAAGCAGTTATTGTCTCATGCCTAAGCAGCATAACACTGTTTTTATGATGGAAAAATTTATTCTTTAAAAAAAAAAAAAACTCAAGTAAAAAGACTCCAATGGCGCAGCCTGCTGGTTCGTGAAGAATATGGTCAATACTGACGAATTTTACACTCAAATGTTTGCATATCATCAGCATGCTGTAATCCATTTCTTAAACAGTAAAAGTCATTTTTACACTAGTTTGTTGGTCAGTTGTAGTCAGTGCAATGCTAAACATTTTTGTTTCACTATAATTTGTTCGGTTTGTCACGCGTCATCCCACAGCAACATCATATAGTTTAAAATACTGTACAATGTTTTATAACAATTATTTTGTTGTCCATTTCATTCAGCATATGTAATATTAGGGGCATCCACGTTTTCTGACATACTTTAAACCAGGGTTTCTGCAGGTTTCTTATGACATTTTTAAGACCATTATGACTGAAATTTTAGACCCATAAAGGGATAAAGCTAAAGATTTTTTTTGGCCCTGATGAAAAAGATTTTATTTGCTCTATCAAAAAAATAATATAATTTAATACATTTAATAATACAATAATAAATGAATAATAAAATTAAAATGTTTTAGATATTTCTTTCAAAGGATTATAAATACTGTGTAAAATGGCCCAGATGGAAAATATTTTTATTTGCCCCATCAAAAATATAATAATTTTAATTTAATAATACAATAGTAAATGAATAATCAATTTTTAAAACATATTTTAGATATTTCTAGCAAAAGATTAAAAATTTTGTGTAATAACAAGCAAGCAATACTTGTATCAACAAACTTTTTTTCCAAAATAAACTTTATTTAAAATAAAAAACAAATGGACAAATGTTTTAAAAAACTATAATAAACTAAATCTGTGCACAACACAGGTCTGTCCAGGTCAATGTCCTTAGCAGTAAATACATGGGGCACGTTTAAACAAATGTTAAACGTTAAATGTTAAATGTTATTGTAAGGAAAATAATTAAAGCATTACAATAAATAATTTAAAACAAGTTAAAATGACCTTTTTGAATAATAAGATAAAATTTTTATTGAGATGGATTGATGGTGATTGTATGGGTTTTGGCCAGATTGGGTAGAAAAACATGAACCTTAATTAAAGACCAAAGAAAAAATGAAGACTTGTTTATAAAAGATTTAAGACCTACAGCACAACATTTCAGTAAATTTAAGACTTTTTAAGGCCTAAAATTTTGATTTTGGAATTTAAGACATTTTAAGACTCCAAGGAAACCCTGTTTAAACACAATAGCCCTGGTCAATAGTTATTATAATAATGATGTAATTCTAATTCAGATACTATCTGTGAGAACTAGTAACAACTACTAGAAACAAGTTTAAACCCATGAAGAAGTTGATGAAAAAAGGGGAATTGTGATCAACGTGACATATGCAAACATATTCCTGTCTTTCAATGAGTGCTTATGTGTGTTTAGGAGAACTAGGCAGCACACTCAGGGCTGCAAGATGGATTTAATTTAGTATTCTTATTATTAAAATATATCTGAATGAGGATCAAATGACTGAGTTGGTCATTTACACTAATCCGTTTTCGTTTTAAAACGCATACGTTTTGCTACGGTTACGCCATCTGTCCACACTTGGCCGGAGTTTTCGAGTGCCGAAAACGAGCGTTTTGGAAACGCTGAAGAGGCCGTTTTCATTCTAAAACACTGCTGCTCCGTCTCAGTGTGGATGGGGAAAACAGAGACATCTGAAAACGGAGGCGGGGCTGCCGACATTCGCCTATCTGATTGGGGCTTTTCCTCAATATTAAGTAGCCTAACGTTACACACAGTTCAGTCCTGCATCCTCTTCTTGTAAGTTCAGACTTCGCAAGTTTGATCAAGGCTGCAGTCTCCCCCTCCTCAGTTTGATATGGAAAACATACCGAGGACACGGGTAAATCTTCAAAGGGAACAGTGTACTTTATAACTTCATTCACATCACCTTGGCTACGTTGTTTCACTTTCTCAACAATAAAATGTAAACATGATTTAAGGAACTGCCTATTTTCATTTTGATATTAGCAACTTAACAGACAGCAGAAATGCTGAGACGTTGTGTTGCATTTATGAGCGTCATCTTCACTGTGTGGATATTAATAACAAAACGGAGCCGATAACAACTGCCTCTTTTCAATTTCAGTGAAAATACAAAACATGCCCTCTCTTTTGCTGAATATCAGTTTTAATCATCGATAATGGCCATTATAAAAGTATAACAGACAATAAGTTTATACAATATAGGAAATAAAGGCAAGCGATCAGTCAATATACAGAATGTAGGCTACGTGGTTACATTAATCATTAACTTATCTTTGCGCTTAGCCAAAACACGTTACCTGAGAACAAGTAATAGATTCCAATGACCAAAGTCGGGGAATATGTCGTTAGATAAAGACAACAAGATGAATGAAATATCCCGTTTAATAAATATAGGGAGATTAGATCCAGCGGGAGATGTTTGATGAGCAGTACAACGAGCACAGCTCTCATCTGGGTAGATAGGCTGCAGCGCTTGCCCGAGAGTGTGTGTGTGGTCAGGTGATGTGCGTTTTCAGCGTTTTGGTGTGGACACAGAGCTGTTCAAAAATGCTCTGTGGAATGCTAGTGTGGACATCGTTTTAAAACTAAAACGCACAAGTGTAAAAGGGGCCTGAGAATAAAAATCAACCTGTTTGTTCCTGTGAATCTTCCTGTTTGACTTTGAATGTTTCTTCAATCTTCAAATCTTCACTCTCCTGTTTAATAAACACCATCTTTATAACAGTGTGGAGATCAGTCGCTTCTGGAGGAGTTTTTCTCTGTGTTTGGACACTTTATCCTGTTTAAAATGAACAAAACAATAAAAATGTCCTGTTTAAAATAAATAAAACTATGAAAAGAAACAAAATAACTTCTCTTTAACACTTAACTACTTAAACAGTTTCTTTATATAAGAGTAATTAACAAAAATAAATCAGGTAAAACGTTTCTTTAAAACACTTACTACACACTTTACTGTTACTTTATTCAAAAAATAGCCCTCGGTTACTGAGAATAAATTAGTACTACGTTGTATAAAGGGTTAAAATAATATTTCCAACAGCAGTAACATAATTTAACATCATATAAAAACTAAAACTTTAAAACTTTAACTTTAAATCGGTTTACATCTGTAAACGTTTTAAAACAAACCTTCCTCCAGTTGAATTACAGCACTGAAGCGGCGCCGCCTGATGACGTCACACGCCATGCCAAAATAAAAGTCTTTTTTTGTTTAACTTTTTTTCCACTTACTGTTGCAGTCAAGACTAGGGCCAGACGAAATCTGCAGATGTTTTTTGTTATTTCTGCTGAAAATGTGGGTAGAAATCTGCGGATTTCTGCAGAATGATTTTGGGAGTATCCAACTAGAACCTTAATATGGGAAATAAAAATAATACCTTTTTTACTTTTATTTAATGTTTACAATGCAAATCCAAATAGATTAACTTTATTTGATAAACAAAGCAAGTCTCTTAAATTATATATCTACTAAAAGACAGAAAATATTACTTTACAAACTGCATTGTACTTAAATTTAACATTTAACATTTTCATATTAGTCAATAATATTACTGTAATTCATTTTAAAACTGAATAAATTTAGATTTACACATTAAGTAAATAAACAGTATTAAAAATCTGCGGAATTCTGTGGAAAATCTGCAGAATTCTGCGCGCACAGATTCCATGTGGGCCTATAGTCATGACTTATAATATAGTTTACTGCCAAGCTTCTTGCTGCTGTGCACCTGATGCAGAGCAAAGATAGCCATTTCCGTGCAGCACCTGGTTTACATGATTGTTTCAGAGCTATTGTAGGCCTAAATAATAGCCTACTCTGTATAAAATAATAATTTATTATTATTATTAATATTATTAATATTATTATTAGGCCTATTATTATTAGTATTGTTATTATTATTATTTACTTAGTTATTCAATGGTTGTAAGAACACATTGGACCCTGCATGGGGCTATAATAAATGGTACCATTTGTTTCTATTGGATTTTCTCCTATTTTAATTTAATATATGCCTTTAGCCTATTGTAAATATTTATTTGATAATTAATACTTTTTATTGCAACGTCAAAGTAGGCCTGTCTTATTATTATTATTTTTTGTTATTATTTTGTCGTTGTTGTTGTTATTATTATTGTAGCAGGGACATAGCCACAGGTGTGGCAGAGTGTGCTGGTACCACCCAAAGTGGCATCTTGCACCTGAAAATAGATATCTTCGCGCTCAAGCGTGCGCAAAAAACTTGCACAGGCAAAAGTAATGATGAATGTGTTGAAGGAAAAAAAAAACATTCTAATTATTTGTTAATAAAATAGTGCAACATTATTCTAAGTCAGTGTAGGCTGAAAAAATTAAGATCGCCAGCATTTCAAGGGTGGTTTTATTTTTAGTTCATTGCTGTGACGCGCTATATTTCACTAAGGCTGCATGAGACTGCGCATCTTGCTTATTTTCTCTATTTTACATACAGAACATATCATACAGTCCAGGTTCTACCGTTCTAGTGAGTGTGGGGCATTGCTTTACAGCGGTAAAGTGGATTATTTCTTGGCAAATTCATAATGATTCACTTTGTTTAGTAATAAATTTCATAGCTATAAAATAACTACATTTCAAGAATATGTTAACACTTTCAACTATTTAGGATTATTTATTGCATCAAAAGTAATTTCAAAGTAACATTAAATGTACGTATAAACTGCTTAATTTGTGTGTGTAAACACCCTAGATGCAAAAAGCTTATTTAGAACAGATGAGGCCTACTAAATGCAACGGTCAATGTATGTAAACTTATGACCTAAAATGTCTTAAATGACTAAATTTAAGTCTTTTTAAGTTTTTAAATAATTTAAGTTTAACATAAATGATTTAAACCTTAAACTTCAAATTAACAGAGTATGGCAAATAAATTGTTTATTAAATGGAGGTCAGGTGTCTATCTTAATTATAATTATTAAATATTATGACACTATAATTCAGTGGTGTATTGGAGAGTATGCACCTTTTAATTAATTAATTTTAAATAAGTGGTTTATCCTATATAAAATGCAATGGGATCAGTGTGCAATGAATAGTTTGAAAACCCCTGGTTTAGACTAGACGAGCTAGCTGTCTGTGCGCTACGCTAATAACTTGGCATTTGCTCTTTTCGGTGCTGCCAGATGCATTTATAGTGCATAAAAAATAAAAAAGGTAATTCGGTAAAGCGCGTGATGCGCGCAGAAATAAGCGCACTATATGCGCATGTCAAATTAAGTTCTCTTTTTCTTTAATCAAGACTTTTCTATTCGAGGAATTACAGTTATTAATAGCTTAGTCCTTATAAACGATCAGTTTATAAAATACACAATTTACGGATCAAGCCTAGTGCAAACAAATATGGATATAAAATATAATACAGAAAAAACACAGAAATAAATAAAAATAGATTAATAAAAATAAAAAGATTGATAACATAAAAAATATTAATAAAAATTAAAATAGATTAGATCTCTCTCACAAACACACACTTTAGTATTTAAAGTTGATCAAATTTTTTAATCTAAACATTTTAAGACAATTTTGAGAAACTTTTTTTAATCCAGATTATGATGGCTTGCATGTCTACAACACATAAGTATACATCATTATATATAAGAAATGGAGTACTAGTTTTAATCAGCTCATTTGTGGCTGTTGTTTCTTGCTCGGACTTACCAGATTTCTTTTTGTTAATTACTTTCATATAAAGAAACTGTTGAAGAGAAGTTATTTTGTTTCTGTTCATAGTTTTATTTATTTTAAACAGGACATTTTTATTGCTGTGTTAATTGCTTTGTTAATTTGTTAAAAGTGTCCAAACGCAGAGAAAAACTATATATATTAAGTCATGACTCATGACTAAGAGTAAGTGGCAAAAAAGTAAAAAAAAAAAAAAAAAACTTTTATTTTGGCGTGACTTGTGACGTCATAAGCCTGCGCCGCTCTCACGCTGTGATTCAACTGGAGAAAGGTTTGTTTTGAAGCGTTTAGCCTTATATAAAGCGATTGATTAAAGTTTCAGTGTTTTCATTCAGTGCTAAATTATGTACATGTTGACAATATTATTTTAACCCTTATACAACGTAGTACTATTTACTAAAACTTACAGTAATGAGGTCCATTTTTTTAATAAAGATAGGATAAACTTTTTGTTCCAGAGAGGAAATTTGTCTTGTGCAAAAAAAAAAGCTATAAACAGACAATATAAGATAAATAAAACAAACAAAACAATTAAGAAGATACTTGAATAAAGTAAAAGTGTGTATTTAGTGTTTTAATGAAAGTTTAATTGATTGAATAGCACAATGTCATTCCATTATAAATATACATCACTATATATAAGAAATGGAGTACTAGTTTTCATCAGCTGATCAGTGGCTATTGTTTCTTCTTGATCAGACTTTTCTGATTTCTGTTTGTTAATGATAGAGGTAAAGTTGGTTTTATATTCGCACATTCGTTCATTTAGAATTCTCTATATTGTTTACCATGTTACTTTGAATATTTGATCGGAATTAGTATGCAAGTGTGACTTGAAAACAACATTAACACTGTTTATTTAACTGTGAACAATGTTGTACTTTGGTAGTCATTTGTTGCTAATATGATTTCGCTATTTAGAGTTTGCAAATAATACTTTCATGAAATTATATTATTAAGGGGAAAGTCAGAATGTGCGAATATAAAACCAACTTTACCTCTATTTGTTAATGACTCTCATATAAAGAAACTGTTTAAGCAAGTGTTGAAGAGAAGTTATTTTGTTTCTGTTCATTGTTTTATTTATTTTAAACAGGAAATTTTTATTGTTTTGTTCATTTTAAACAGGATAAAGTGTCCAAACACAGAGAAAAACTCCTGCTGAAGCGACTGATCTCCACACTGTTATAAAGATGGCGTTTATTAAAGAGGAGAGTGAAGATGTGAAGATTGAAGAAACATTCACAGTCAAACAGGAAGATCTGCAAGAACAAACAGGTTAATTTTTATTCTCAAAGACCAACTCAGTCATTTGATCCTCATTCAGATATATTTTAATAATAAGAATACTAAATTAAATCCATCTTGCAGCCCTGAGTGTGCTTCCTAGTTCTCCTAAATGCACATAAGCACTCATTGAAAGACAGGAATGAGTTTCTTTCTTGTTGCTTGTTCTCGTGTCTTTTGTCATTATTTTATGTATTATTAGTCTCCCATTTTCTCTACCTTCTTAAGGTTGTTGCTTTTTTTGTTCTCCTACTGTTTGTAAGGTGTCCTTGAGCACTAAAAACGTCCTTGGGCACTAATGCCGTTTTAAAATTATTATTGAACAAATCCTTATATTTGCGTGTCACACTCACTATACAAATTTATCAGGACTTACTGAAAATGGAAAGGATTGGAAGGACATTTGCTGTGCTCTATCATTGATAGGGAAAAGGAGACTCTTTGCTAGGTTTACTTTGTATCCAGAAGCATTTCCAAATTCTGAAATTATTGTAAGAGCTTTTGGAATACATGTTTCTGGATTTGACAGAAAAAGAAGATCATCCGCATATAGCAGGAGCTTTTGTTTATGTCCCTCTCTGAAAATTCCTTGCAAGCCATCTGAGTTCCTTAATACAGTTGCAAGAGGTTCAATGGCAATGTCAAAGAACAGAGGGTAGCCCTGTCTCGTTCTTCTAGAGAGTGGAAAGCCTTTAGAAATAATATTATTTGTTTGAATCGATGCTTGGGGCCTGGAATATAAAATTTTAACCAAGGAACAGAATCCAGGATCAAAACCAATTTTTTTAAGCGCTGTAAAAAAATAGATCTACTCTTATCTATCAAATGCCTTATGGGCATCTAAGGAAAGAGTGATTCCGAAACAAGAGCTTCAGCAAATACCTTGCACAACAGGGGTGTTAGCTTGGCAGTAAACTTCTTATAAAACTCGGACGGGAAGCCATTGGGGTCTGGTGCTTTTCCAGTTTTCAATTTTTTGATTGCATTTTCAATTACAGAAGGTGTTAAATTTCCTTCTAATGCCAACTAATCTAAATCACAAAGGCATGGTTATTCTAAATAATAAAAAAAGCTCTCACGTTCAATCTCGTTTACCTCAGAGCTGTAAACAGTTTTATTTAAGTTTTTTAATTGATCATTAATTCTCTGTTGATCAGTAATAATACTGCCATCATC